AGAGAGGATTTGGTACTACCCATGGTTTTACGTATCCACTGGGCGTCCTGGAACATACGCCCTGTGAATAAGGGGAGACGGCAGTAGTGGGAGCAAATAAGCTAATATGTTCCAGATAGTAACATATATCTGGCATAGAATCTAACCAATATAATCACAGTTTATTACCCTTTGCAGGCCACAATCATTCTTTTATTTGTTCAGTAAACATTGAGTGACTGAGAGGGCCTGGGTACTGTGCGAGGCCTACGTTAGTATTCGTGACAGGAGCATTTCGGAAATGCAGTGACTTTCATGGTGGAAGCCTTAGGCACCTTGGCAGCCAGGCTTTTTGGCTTCTCTCAAGTCACATTAACTCAATGGCCAATGACCCTGCTTATCTGAAGGGCTGGTCTCACTGAGAAAAAAGTGACAGAGTTTGATTATATTGTAAAGAAAAGAAGAAAACGGCTCGTCTGGGGCTAGATAAACTCTTTCCGATGTAGGAGGTGCCATTTTTCTGACCTGGGACATAAAATATATGAAAGGGAACTTAGCTGACGTGAAATTCAGCTTCGAAAGAGAAGTTTAGTTTCTGTGCTGGGATTGGGATAATGTCTTTATAATTTTTGTTGTGGTTAGTTTGTTTAAATAACTGGGTTTTCCTTCTGCCCGTTTCTATGCCATGTGAGAGGCTGTTTCCTTGGTCAGGCCTTGTTGCTGCTACACTGTCTACCCACCCCCACGCTCCCCTGCCCGCCAATAGAACTTAGGCTTTTTATTTCATACCGGATGACCGTCATCTGTAAGCACTTTGTGGAGAGCCCTCCCAGACGCTAGAACAGCCAATTTACAGTAACGCAAACAAGTCAGGGGACTCAGGGCTAAAACAGGCAGGATTTTTAGATCTAATGAAGACTCTCTGTCAGGCCTAATTTGGATCTAGTTAATAAGGGTCTGATTGAATTTGCCATTTTAGAACATTGTGAGGTCTTTTGGACCCGTAAACGATTTCCCTTCTTTTTCTGCACAGACACAAGGGTGAGGTGGAGTTGTCAGTGGAAGCATTTGTGTGTCACAAGTCACCAGGGTCATGTGTTTGGTGAATGACTTGCTAGGTCATCTTAGATAGGCCGTTTAATCTTTTTGTGTTTTCGTTTCTCCATCTGTGAAAGCATGATAACACACAGTGGGCTTCTAAGGAAAGTGGTCTTAGGAAGGATATAGAAGGTGTGTTACTTGAGAGGCTTTTGCAAAAACTCTGGATCACTGTTTACAAGAGAGATTGTAATCTTGAGGTGGTACAGTAGCTTTACGGCAAGTTAGTTTGAGCCAAAGTCCTTGCCAAGGAAATAGCAGATCTGAAGGAAGGGAGGGCCATTCCTGGTACTTCATGAATTTGGAGATGACCTTTGACATGGCCTTGCTTGTTCGTGCTGTTGTTTCGTTGGGAGAATACCATTTGAGAGGCCAAATGAAACCTACCCACAATGAGAAAGGGCAAATTCTTATGTGTTCAGCTTCAGATTATAAATCACCAATAACATCTTGGCAGTTTTGTTTTGTTGCTTTGGGGGGACTTTTTCATGCTTATGAGTCAAACTCAGCAGAACCCCTGATATGCTGTCACCTTCTTGCTTACCTGCTCTCTGCCTTCTCCCTCCTCCACCCCCCTGAAACTACCAGGAGAGACCTGGGGCTTTTGTCTGCGTGAATTTCCCATTGGCAGCGCCCGAACTCTCAGAATCATTCTATTTTCCCCAAAGGGGATCACCAGATGCTCAAGTCTGTGATCAATGAGCAATGTGCTATTCGGCTTTGCCTGGGCTTGCCCCGTGTGTCCTTGCAGAAATGTAAACGGAGGTGCTGCAACTCTGCCCCGGAGTGATGGGCAGGACTTCAAACCAAGTAACAAAGCCGGACAAAGGCAGGAAACGTTGCTCCTTCCCCTGAATATCTGGTACTTGCAGGAGGATGGGTTTTCTCTGTAAGAGTTCTAGGGCGTCAGGTGGTGGTGTTCGAACAATGAGGGGTCTCTGGGGCAAACAGCCATCTTCTAAGAGCTGTGATGATTTGTCAATCTGTGTTACTCCACACTTAAAAAATTCTCGGCCATTTCATATCTTGCAGTATCATGGGGGAAAATACAGTTATGTAGTTAAACTTTAAAGCGACAGTTGTATTCACTGTGTATTGTTTATATCAGCCAAAAACTGGAATGGATCTAAATGTCTTACAAGGAGAATTTGGTTAAATAGGTCATGATGTTTATCTGTATATTTCCCTGCAGATATATCTATTTCTACCATTTAAAATGAGGGTGTAAAACAGTGGGTTTCTAATTTTAGATTGTTGATGACCTTGGAGAGCTTGATAAAAGTGATCAGCCACCTTCCCAGAAAAACGCCTACGTGCTCAACATTTTCATAGGATATCAGGGGATTTCAATATAAACTTGTCTATCACTCAGAGGTTAAGAGCAGTCAATATAAAGAACTTAGTAGAAATAATAGTGAATAATTTCCATATATGGAGTAGTGGAACAAGCAGCTTATAAAAGAGTAAAAGCTCATTAAAAAAACAAAACAAAACAAAAAACCTCACCTATATATGTATTGGGAGGAAAAAGTTTTTCTCATCCCTCTTAGGATCCCTTGCTGGGCCTGAAAATTCAGCTGACAAAGATTAACAGGAGAGAAGCATACACGTTTATTTAATATAAGTTTTACATGACACGGGAGACTCCATAAGGAAATGAACACCCAAGCAAACAAACTTGAATATTTTATGCTAGCTTCAGTGAAGAGGACTGGATAAGTTAAAGAGTAGGAAGTAAGTGTGCTAAACTGGGGGAAACTTAGCAAAGTCTGTTTGCTAAGATTCTTCTGGTGTCCCTTTGTCTTCAGAGATAAGGATGCTTCTTTCCTCTGGGTGTGGGGAGGATGCCTTTCACTGGAGGGTTTTATGGGCTGTTTGTGGAAGAAAGGGGAAGGAGCAAGAGACCAGGGTAACTTTCCAGCTTCTGCTGTTTTTTCAAACTCCTTCAGCTTAAAATATTCAAGAAGCCAAGATGCCATTGGAAAGGCTTTGAAAGGCTGAACACAACACGAAGATGCTTAACCACAGCTTCTCTGGAGGATGATAATACAGTCTCTGTGTGCTTATTTGTAGCTTCTTCCTTTCTAGAACTATCCACAGAATTGCTTTCACAAGAAGAAATATGCCACACAAGTTTGTTTAAATTTTTTAAAAAGCTGTAATCTTTTTTGGCAAGTGTGTTGGAAACCTGGGTACATTTTTAGCACTGCTCTTTATTCAGCAAATGATGAAATGAAGAGACATTAGGATGCAGGGACACCATTTCTAAGTGACATTTAATTAGGGCCAAATAAGAAGATACCAGATTGACAAACTTCCTTTCAATATGAAATACACAGATAAAACATATTTAAAAGATCCAGATGAATCAACCAATTCAAAAATGCCAATCTCACGGTGAGGAAGAAAAGCCAGTCTATAGGTAACCTCTAGCTTGACACCAACAGCATTTCCACCCTGGGAATGGCCTTTGGGGATATATGACAACTCAATACCTCAAGAGATTAGGGGTCTGACATTCCTATTTCTTGTGTCTTAGGAGGCATCTGGGAGAACTTGTTCTAACTCTGCTGACCTTGCTGTGGCAACTTGAAGGTGAAGTTTGCATATCCCCTATTCACCGGCAAGTATCTTTAAGGAAAGAGAAGTTAGTTTGGGGGCTGCAGGGCTATCTACTCGCCATCCGCGCCCCCTTTCTTGGGTGGCAGGGCACCCTCATCTTCCTTCCGGGAAGCGCCTTCTCCCACCCTCAATCGCTGCAGCTTCCTTGAGGTGGGCGGGTGGGCATGACCCCTCCGCTCCAGGACGAACATGTGACCCAGGCCGGGCCAATTGGCGCATTCTCTCTCTCAGGGCACGGCATGGCTCCAGGGATGGGGAAATGATCCGATCCCATCAATGAGATTACAGAGAAGGAGCTCTTGATAGAGATTTCTATACCTGAGGTTTCTTAGTTGGGAGAACAGAAGTCTGAAAGTGTGGAAGGATTCTGCAGGAGATTGAGGGGCAAACAGCACTGCAGAGTCACAAGGTGGAAAAGGGCAGGAAGGCGTCGGGGTTGGACCTCAAGTCCTGGGACTTCATTTGATCCTAGTGTGCCTGAACCAAACTGGCCACTGGAGTTTTCAATTGTGTGTGGCAATAATTTCTTTTTTTGCTTTGTTTAAGTCAGTTTGTATTAGAGCTATTTCATTTGCAACCAGTCCTGATTTATATACTGGTATAATAATAATAATACTTATTGAGCACTCCTCAAATAGCAGACCTTGTGTAAATCCTTTATATGGATTTACACTTATTTAACTCTTACAATAGATCTTCTTATCTTTTGAAGAAAGGAAACTGAGGCTCAGAAAGGTTAAGTAACTAACACAAGATGCCTCAGCGAGTAGTAGAATCAGATTCAAACCCAGATTTGTCTAAAGCCCTGCATTCTTAACCAGCCTACTATCAACTTAGCAGTGATACTGGATGAAAGTTAGGCCTGACAGCTGGTGGGTTGTTTGTTTTTACAAAGGGAGTACTGAGGATAATAAACGAGTATTTAGTCAGCATGGTCAGTTTTAGGGATTAAAATTTCTTCATCTTCAGTGAAGCGGTCAGTGCCCCCTTGTTATTACATTGTTTTGTTTTCTGAATACCAGGCAATGTTTAACAGAAGAATCTCAGCTGTCTTCATTTTGTAGTCAAAGAGTCTTGTGGAAACTAATTGACCTGCAGGTGCATATCCTACAAGTGCTTCGGGGCTCCTTGGGCTACAGACAAGCAGACTTGGAGATAAAGCGTGGGTCCTTTAAGAATCAAGGAGGAGCTCCAGGCCACTTTGGTGATATGTTGTTATAAACCCGAGGGGGCTTTCTTTTCAATAATGAAATGAAAGTAAGGAGGTTGATCAGCTCCGCACTGCTCCATTCTCGGGTAGAGTTTTCTTACACTTCAGAACAGAAGAGTTCTCTGTTGAAGTTTGAAGAAAACAAGGTAAACATGCGCCTGGGAAACGCTGAGTATGGTTTTGACTCCGGCTCTGAGGTTCACGCTGTACTCATAACATCCTGTTCTTCTCTGCCGGCTGTGATGTGGTAGATAGCAGTCCCTCCCTGGGCTGTTAACAGCTGAGCTCATTTTTCATAAAGATGCTGCTCTGTGAGACCGAGGAAATGGGCCACTGCCGCCTCTGCCTTTGTTACTCTTACGGTTAAGGATGGGTCTTCCTAGTTGCCTTGAGAATGCCCTTTCCATCTTCTCTGAAATTAATTCCTTTGGGGTATGTGGCAAACTTAAAATTTTACTGGAAGCCCAGAGAGTATTAGTGAGTGGGAAATAAGTCTCAAAAAGAAAAAAAAAAAGTCACTTGTTTAGCATAGGAGAAATGTGCTCTGTTGAATTCTGCAGCTACAGAGTCAGGAAAGGAAGAGTGGCTGTTGGGAAAGGTGTGATGACACCTGATATGGAGAAAAAGCAGTGTAAGTGGGATCATCCTAGGGACAGGGATTTCTGACTTCTGATCCAACCCTTCAGCAGGGCACAGGAGGGCTGAGAGCTGACTTTTTATACAATGTATTTATCAGCTTCCAATTGACCTTGTGGCTAAAAATCGCATCTATTGCAAAGACATAATGGAATAAGGATTAAAATCTCACTTCTGTGGTCAGGGAGCTGACCCCAAATTAGTTCTTTGCATTTGGAGATTCTGAAGGCATAACTACAATAAGAATGACTTCTGCTGGTCAATTACAAAGGAAATTGTTTCCCTTCTGTCTTCACTGTGTTGCAGAGTCACTGTTTTGCCATCCAGGAGATGGACAGCACAGTGGGGTGTGTTTTGAATGGCTTTTGTTAGAGAGCATGATGTGCATCCTTCCCGTGGTTGTGCTCCTCATCGGGTAGTTCCAAAACTTGCCTCATCACTGGAATCATGAAGATGCTTTAAAAAGGATAGAGAGATCTTTTGTTAAACTGAGACCTACTGAATGGAAACACATAAGAACAAAGCCATCTATAAGTTTATCTGGGTGATTATTATAATCAACCAGGGAGCCACCACTCTAGTCTTCCCTCATTGGGATAGATAAATTAATCAGACGAGCAACTTGCCATCTGAGACCTGTAGACATGACCTACCGACAGGGGCCAGCCTTCAATTAGGGGCAGAGGGTAGGGAGTAGATAGTGAATATTAGAGAGACATGGCAGAAGCAAGACTGGGCAGCATGGAGACATCATATACGAAGGCCCCAAATGGGGTATAGAGGATTCTTGGGATGGTTGGCTGTCTGCATGGGTTTTGAAGATTGGTTTGTTAAAAGAACAGAGAATGACAAAGCCCACTTGTCCTCTTTCAAGTAAAAACAAAAATCTTCTTTGTGTCTGGCTGTAGTGGCCACCATTTTTATGCTATTCTTCATGGTCAGAAACCAGAGATGTGTATGAAAACCTCATTCCTTTCTAACAGAGACATGAAACAGAGGAAATCTAAATACAGACATTTCAATGCAACAGGCATGTAGGTGGTATGTTAGTCTCCCTTTTCCACCGGGGAGAGCACATTCACATACCTGTTTACTCATTCAGTGATTTACTTCGCCATCATTTATTGAGCAAAACCCATTCTTGTCAGGCATGGTGGCAGGGGTTGGGGAAATGAATAAATAAAACATGGTCTCTGCCCTCTAAATGGTCACAGTTCCAAAGGCATGTAAGAAATCATACAGAAGAGGGAATGATCAGCTGTCCCTGGGCAGGAGAAAAAGGCATAGCAGGGAAATCTTAGAGAAGGAGATGCCTGACCAAGGCGTTTATGAATGAAAGGGAGATTCACCTGGAAAATGGACCCAGTCTTCTCAGGCAAAGGCAATAGCTTAAACAAAGGCAAAAGGGCCTGGTGGGTCTATAAAAGTCTGTGTAATTTGCTATCATAGTGTGAGAGGGAAAGTAGTGGGACATGATCTGGTGATTTGGCAGCACCCAAATCATGCACGGTCTTCAACGTCCACGCTTATGTTCTAAGGAAAGAACTTGATACAACTTAACCACATGACCTTATAAACATAGCAGAAGAGAGCAGAGGCTGCTCAAAGACATGGATGAGTATGCATGAACTCTTGCTTTCATTATGTACAAACCTTGGGATTGGGGCTATAAGAATCTGCCTCTCAGAGAAGCTGGATATATTAGTATAGCAACTCACAATTTTTAGAGAATTGGTATATTTTTTCCTTAGCTGCAGAATATGTTAAAAAAAAAAAAAAAGAAAACCACTTCTAGCTTCAATTTTAAAATGCCTCAATTTGTGAGACCATTAGTCATGAAGGTGTTTCCATAGCAAACGTGTGTGGGATGTCCTAGCTTTGTTGCCACTGGTTCAAGGGAACTTACATTATTAAATTGGGACAAGGCCTGGCATGATGGAGAAAAAATGTATGGCACTGTTCCCATAGCATGAGGCCTCCATTTAAGGGCAAGATAAAGGAAAGGCAAAGAGCAAGAAGAGAAAGTGCTGGAATGAAAACAAGTAACAAAAGGAAGATAAAAATGGAAATCCTAGTTAAGTGTGAATAATAGGAATGCAAATGGTGCTGCTAAAATGGAAGGAACCGTTACTTTTCAAAAAAGCAAAGCAAAGGAAAATTGTAGTAGCAAAAGCATTTTGCATGGTGAAATTGTACACTGTGTATGTCTCTCAGAAGCAAAGCCACCTACGCTAATTTTTCCCAGCATGACGCTGTGAATCTGGTGAGTCATTTTTTGAAGGTTTACTACAAAGCTCCAATCTGCATATTTTTTTGGTAAAACATTTGGATTAAATCTTTTTCCCAGCAGCTGCCTATTAATGCTCCTATTTTATAGCCAGTTTTTTCACCTGGGCTACAAAAAACATACTTTTAAAAAATTAATAAGTTTATGGAATGATCTCTATGATTCATTGTGAAGTTTAAAAAATCATGTTTATGGTATACTGCTCTTTATCAAAGAGGGTAATCTGAATATAAATTTGCTTAAATCTCAGGAAGAAGTTATTTATGAGGGAGTGAGTGAGGAAACAACTGGAGGGGACAGAATTAGAAGTTAAATGTCTCCAAATATATTTTGTTTCTGTTCTGAATTTAAAAACATGTAAGTATTTTACATGATTATAAAACAAAGTTAATTGCAAGACAAAGCAATCTAAAAATTGAAAGCAAAATGGCACAGATGAGTCTGAGTCTCAAATTAGTGGCATAAATGCAGAGAGATTATTTCAAGTGACTAATTTATCTGTAGAAATACCCTAAGACAAAAATTGTTAAAATTTTAAACTGTTTTTTCTAATTGTATTATTTATGATAGTATTGTTACTGTTTTAGATTCTCTCTCTCTCTCTCTCTCTCTCTCTCTCTCTCTCTCGTTGTGTGTACTATAGAATAAAACAAATGAGGTATTATGTTGGGGTTGGGAATTAGATTTTTGGCATGGAAGAAGGTAATTCAAATGTAAGATCAAAGAGGTTAAGTAAAAACCATGTGGTCTTGAATTTGTACTGTAATTGTCAGTTGAACTTGTGATGTATTTTAATACAAAAAATAACAGATTCCCTAGCTGTACTCACAGAAAAGACCTAGAAACAACGACCAGCTCAGTAAAAATGAACACCCCTGTGTTCATTAACTAGGTTCAAAACTCAGATTGTGGTCTCTCAATACTGTTCCTCCTTAAAAAGAACTAGGGCTCCCTGGTAGAGAACTGATTCCAGATCTGCGGCAGGAAATGTGTAACAATGAGCCTGGAATAATTTGCCAAACCAAAGAGCAGGGAAGCTATCAATGACTTTTGGGGTTATGTCTAAAATACTCTGGAACCAACTAGGAAAGGCTTTCTGCAGTCAAAGATGGGACAATTTGAGCATCAATAAAATAATAACTGCGATGGATTGAAACACATCCATTATATTTAAACTTATAGTGATTCCAAAACACACACACACAGCCAAAACACATCCCCTCAAACCCCCAAAACAATTGGCCCTCTTTGGAGGATACTAGGTAACCAACTCATAAATTTGAATGCTAAAAAATGAAGAGAAATAATTCAGCACATATCCTGTTTTTTCTGTATACTATACCACCGGGTAACCAACTAGAAAATAGCTTCTGATTCAAATCAATGAAATGAAAACAAAATTATTAGACTATTGGGGAAATGTGAGCACTGACTGGAAAGTTAGTAATATTATTGACTTACTGTTAATTATCTTTAGTTATGATAATAAATTGTCGTTACATTTAAGAAAAAGTTTTTATCTCCGAAATATATATGTATATCTATTTCATGTGTATGCATATATAATTATATATTATACACATATATATTTGCAGGTAAAATGTTGTGAGGTTTTAGTTTTGTTTCTAAATAATACAGTGCATGTGGAGGTGAGATCGGATGGGGGTATAGATAAAATAATGTTGACTAGGAGTCGAAAAATGGTTGAAGCTGAGGGCATGTGCATGGGGGCTTATTATATTATTCTTTTTCTTTGGTATGTATTTGAAATTTCCCATATAAAAAGTTATTTAAAACATCAGTTGCTTTGCTCATCTCTCTTTTCCCGTCACCTGATAACCTGCTTCCCAAAGTATTTTTATGCTCATAGGGCCGGTACTCAATAAATGGCGACAGTCATGCTGCTGTTGGTGAAGGTGTCTGTCTAGGATTGCTCATGATTCTCATTCTGGATGATACTTGGACAGATAGAAAAGTGAATTCTAGGCATTATTCAGGCCAGTTAGTGGATAAATCCTTTTGGGCAGTCATGAGTTTTCAGACTTAAATTTGGAGTACTTTGGTCTTAAAGTGAAAGATACTGGCTCTCTTATCGAGGAGCAATACTTCCTTGACCCACAAGAAAATAGTTTTCCAACTCAACTGCTCATGAAAAATTGACATGTTGTGGTCTCATGATGGATTAAATCCTCAACTGCAGGAAGACTCATCACTAATTATTTT